CCCAAAATGAAAAAACAAATCTTGGAACAAAAAATCGTACATGCAAGAGAATTCGCGTACACACAGACAAAACCCATATATACATACACAGAGATTCAGTTAGAGCCCTAAAAATGAATTGAAAGACCATACCTTGGAACGTTTGGGGTTGGGGGGAGGGGAGGCAGATAGGGCGCGTTTGGAAGAAGAGCTGCGTCTGGTTTCAACCATGTTGATGCTCAAGTTCGAGCTGTGTCTTCGTCTCTGATCCAAACAAGGTGTTGGTGCAGAGAGAGAAACAGAGAAGGAGAAGGGTGTGAATGAATGAATGATTGATTGAAGGATATACCAATTATAAGAAGAAAAAAAAAAATTGGTGTTGGTGTATGCTTTTTATTTGTTTATTTCATTCCCCCTCTCTTTTATATGGTTTGGTTTGAGAGATAGAGAGAGAGGACAAATGGGGGAAAGGTTATGAAGCGGTGGAGAAAGTAGGAAGGGCCTTCTTTTAGTTTTGGGTTCAAAATTATTGAATTTTATTGGAATTTAAATTTGTATTTGGAAGCTCTAAAACTAGTTGGAGAGAAAGTTTCACAGTTTTACGAACTCAGTTCCGAACGTTTCATAGAGATTTCATTTTGAAATTTTTGAGGATTTTGATTTGATGAAGTTTCCATGTGAACTTCGGCAAAAGGATAAGAATTTTTTTTTTTTTTTTTTTTTTTTACTCTTTTCTTTTTACTATTATGAGTGAAATTACACTAATAAAAAAAATAGAAGTTAAATTAATATTTTACTGCGGCAACTTCTTCATTCCTTTCCCTTTATTAACCTCGTAAATATTTATCTAGACATTTGAATTTGAGTGCAAGAGAATTAGTCTAAATTATAAATATAATTTTATCTTTAATTAATTTCCATAACCTAAGTTTCATTGTCGTTTATGTGATGCACAGTCAGCCTAATAAAGTTTCTACTTGTCAAGTTGCAATTTAGGTCGACAAGAGGATGGCATGGGTTCAAGTTCAGCTAACCAGTGCCCCAAACCACATCAATTTATTATTCCCAAGTGATAAGTTATGCAACTAACTAGCCACACACAACATGTCACACCAAAACCAAATGATTGCAATTTGCATGATCAACTTCATCAATTATGCACTGATGCATGAACTATGCTGAGAACCTGTAAAACAAACACGATCATGCGCGAAGCTTATGTACTAAACTCGAAAATATTGACCTTCTTTTTCGTCTACCTCTCTAATTTCACATATTTCTAATCTTCAAAATTGAAATTACAAAACTACATTTTACATTTTGATGACAACTAAAACATGCAACTTGCTTTCTGACCCACTTGCCTTCTTTTCATACTACCCCAGAGAAATATGCAGACTTGTCCGCAAAAACATCTATTAAAATATGCACTTTAATTTGTAAGTTCATATTTTGGTACATTTGTTTCGTAAGTTGTTGAAACTCGATATATATTATTTTGTATAGATGTTGATGGGATTAGGAATGGGTTATTACATTTTAATTATTTTGGTAGATTTTACTTAGCAAATCCAAGGTTGATCGAGTTCTTATTTATTTATTCAGTTATGTATAATGTATTGGCGAGTCAATTGGCTGCCCACCACTCGAAAAGGTTAAAAGATTAGGGAGTGGATTAATTTAATTGAAAATATAAAGTATGCTTATTGGACTTTGAAAAAGATCAATCACATGTACCTTCGAAAAGTGGGCAAGGAAGAAGGAATCACGCAGACTTAATCATGCATAGGTTTTTGTTTTTATTAACCTAATCATTAGCAAAACCCCATATCATTCTCATCTGCCACATCAAATTATATCCATTTTCTTACTGCTCCTGGTGCTGCCACAAAGGGACATAGCCAATGTTATTTACTCGTTTTGGGCAAACTTGTAGAAATCTTATGTCACAACACAACTATGAAACTGGTATTTGCTAGATAGATCAATACATGGGGAAAAAATTTGTAATGTGTAATGAAAAAACACGCATTGACATTATGCCGATAATATGGTTGAACGTTATTGTTTGGGACGGCAATGATATCAACATATTATCGACATATCCTTTCCATAATCACACTAGTATATAAATATAACGCAATTAACAAATAACCTGCCATTTTTTGCCAAAAATGAAAAGGTAAATTTTGGTTTCTTTCTGGGAAGCGAGGTTGGGTTTATGAGATTAGGCCAGTGAATGGGCCATCAACGCCTAACTGAGCCTCCTTATTTCAGTACAGTACATACTCAACCCTTGTGGGCTACCAATTTGTAGCTCAACCCAAATTTTGTTGGTCATGGCCCGTATCTTAAAGTTATTTTTTTTTTTTTTTTTTTTTTTTTTTTTTTTTAATAAAAAAAGAGGGCTTTCTCTAAACATATTTTTTTGTACGTTTGGCAGGATGGATCCTTGTAGAAATCAAGCATTGGATGAATGTGGAAGGTGGAGTTATGTGTGAACCGAGAGAGGCTGACAGAGTTTGGGCCATCCATTGTAGATGATGAGCCGATGAGGAATGAGAGGGAGCAAACGGAAACACGTAGTGACCAGAAAACAACAAAACATAGACAACCAACAAACTTTACAACAACCCAATCCTCATTCCACAACGTTATCCTTCAAATGCAAACAAACAACCAGCAGTCCAACTAGTATTGACAGATACAAGGAAAACCCTAATCCTGAAAATTACTTGTTTTCTTTTGCCTGTTTGATCTAGATATTTTCAACTTTTTTCCTTTTTTTAAAAGAAAAAAATTTGTGCGAAAATCATTTGTTTAAACATGACAAATATAAGATTTGAGTTGAAATAACACCACCAATGAAAGAGGGTTTACGCAATACTAATTCAAATGGGTATTGATATGAGTTCTTTCGTTAGTTGGAAGTACTCTTAAGGCTCGTTTGTGAGTGATTTTAGATATGTCATAATCACTTATGAGCACTGGCGGATCCAGAAATTTTTTAGCAGATGTGCAATATTGACTAAGTATGAAAAATGATTTTTTGGAATAATCATTTTCTCAAGATAATTTTTGGCGGCTTTTATTCCTTACACATCAAATAAGAAAACTTGATTTTATGAGATTTTAGTATGAAGTATATATTGACTTAATGAGCCATCATTTTTAGCCTAAATCGTATTTTGCACTAAAACCGAATTTTCATATTTTTATTTGGTGGGAATTTGATTTTCTAGTATTTTTATTTGAATCCAAATGGGGGGTACTTCCTTATTTACATTGTAAACTTAAGTAAATAGAGTAATATAAAAATAAATAAAAGTAAAAGGACAAAGACATTTACTTAAATGTTGAAAATAGAAATAAGGTAATTTGTACACCAGTCGAGCAAATGGGCAATTTGAAGCACCCACAATGGTTTTTCCGGTAAGGGGAGGTGCAACTGCACCTCCTTGCGCCTTGCTACGTCCGCCAGTGCTTATGAGGATAACCACCTCCCATGTATTTCTTGGTAATTATTTTAAAGTGATTTTGGGCAGAAACACTTCTCATGTGCTTATCCATAAAATCACTTAAACTACTTATGCCTCGTTTGGTTCATGAAAAATATTTGATGGGAAATAAATTCTCATGTCTTTTCCCACAAGATGGGAAATGGAAGATTACTTTTTTATGTTTGGTAATGTTGAGAAAGTAACTAGGAAATATCACTTTATTTTCTTTCACGTGTTTGGTTTGTATATGAATGTAAAACAAAGTTTGTTTAATTTTCTAATTATACTCGTATGAAATAAAATAAAAAAAAGAATGCATTTAATGCTAATTTGTAATTATAAATTGTTAATGGGGACAATAAAAATTGTGCGTTTAATGTTGACTAATTTTCCCAAACTTTCCTATGAGGAGAGAAAATGAAGGGTAATGCTACAGTTACCATATTTTCATCCCACATTTTTATACCACATGATGTGGCATGTCCATATCATATGCCACATCAATTAAATGAATGAAGTGTATTTTAATAAATAAAATTAGAAAAATATAAAATAATATTTTACATGACGTGGTATGTACACATCTGTTGCCACATCATGTGGTATAAAATTGTAGTATAAAATGTGGTAAGACTAGTATTATTTGGAAATGAAACCCAAGGGGGGAGGAGGGTTAACTTTCCCCCTACTTACTTATGGAATTGATTTCCCATTTCCAAACCTCCTTTATCACGAACCAAACGGGCCTTATAGTTGTACTCATAAAACGCTTTTAATCATTATAAAAAAATTGCTAAACAAGTCAGAATTACTATATACAATTATTTTATTGTAGTAAATATAAATTAATCATTTTTCAACATTTTAGTCTATTTAGAAATATATTGGTCGTGTGGTGTTGTAGTACGACTAGATGACATAACTCGGTCACGTGTGATATAATAAGTGGATATTTATTAATATTATATCCTAAAAGTGAGAAATATCAGTTTTACTATTCACTCATATTATAACACATGAACAAATTATACCACATATTCGTACTAAGCTACCATACAATAATTTATCATCAAGACTCCTCCAGTGATTACAATTCTGAAGGTCCAAAAAATTAGGTTTAAAATTCTCATTAGTTGGCAACTAATAAAGGGAAGATGTAACAGGAAAGGAAAAAGATGTGGCAAAAAAAAATCACAAGAAAGGAAAAAGAAAAATCTAGAGAAAGGACTATTTCGTAATTTTAGCAGGGGAATGAACATCGAATGGAACTCCCAGCCCAGACCATCTCTACAACAAACAAGGAAGTTGGGTAAAGCCAACCCAACCCAACCCGTGAGGCCGCATCCTTCCCGACTCTAAAACCTTATCTCCCCACTATCAGTCCCTTCCTTTCCCCTCCCTTTCCATTCACTCTTCCTCACAACCCAATCCCGAAACAAACACTCGCTTCGTCACTCTTGAGAGTGCAGCGAAACCAAACCCAAAACCCCTTTTCTTTATCTTCTCTCAGTCACAGCCTCCATGGACGCCTCCAAGCTTTCTGCTTCAGAAGAGGTTCAGCACCTCACAAACTCATCAGGTTCTTCCCTCTCCTCTCCAACCTCCGCTTCTTCTCCCTCACAGTATTCTGATGTTGATGATTTACCAAAAACCCGTGTTTTGAAAACAGATAATGACGAGAAATTTAATGGTGGGCGTGGTGACGGTAGTGATGGTGGGTCTGAGACTGAGGGGTTTGTGAGCGGGGAAGAGGATTTTGATTCCGAGAGGGCATTTGTGAGAGGCTTAGATAAAGAAATCGTAGTTAAAGCTATTTCAGGGGAAGAAGATTCCCCAGTCAAGTTTGTCAATTCATCGGAATTTTTCTATCCCAGTAGCCAGAGGCCGATTGCCAAGGTCTCAGTGGATGATGATGATGGCGAGGAAGATGCTGGGGATTCGAAATATGATGTTTTCGGGGCTGAGGATGTGGTCAGGGAGTCTTTTGTTACTGATAAGGATTTGAAGACTGTTGGGGGTGAGAGTTCTGTGGAGAACTTGGGAACGAACGGTGAGATTTTGGTGGATACTGGTTTGGGCAAGAATGCAAATTTTGGTGAATTGGTGAAAGAAAATGGTGTAAGTGGTGGCCAAGGGCATGTTGTTGATGCCTTGGTAGGCGGTGAAGTAGATAAGGAGCTTGATAATTCGAAATTTGTTGAGGGTGAAGGTTCTGTGGTTGAGGGAAATTCCGTGTCGGAGACGCAATTGGAGGTGACTGAAATAGAAAATAAGAAGGCTGTAGAGTCTAAGGAAGGCGATGTACTCAATGGCACATCAGAAGTTGAAATAGAGAGTAAAGAGAATGGTGGAGTGGTTGAAGAAGACAGTACAGTTTTGGGTGGTGTTGATGAGAAAGAGAACTCTTTGATTGTAGAACTAGCTGATGATAAGTTGGCTGAAAAGGATGGTGTGGATTCCGAGTCTGGGAATGTGGAAGTTCATGGACAGAAAGATGTTGTTGCTGGTGCTGATGAAGTTGGTTTCGAGAAGAGGCCAGAAAGAGAAGATGAACTAAAATCTGATTCTGAAACCAGACAGAAAGGGCTCACGACAGAGCTAGATACTGATGAAGTAGAAGTGGTGTCAGGTGACGAACCTTTTGTAGGGGATGGAGCTGAATCCCAAAGTGTGAACTGTGCTTCTGATTTAGCACAACATGAACCGGCGGATGAGGCAAGACCAGATAATTCTAATTTTGGTGTACATGATCTAGTGGATGAATTGGAAGCCGCAGTCTCTGTAAAATCTCTGGCCCCTGAGTTTGTGGAACCGAGTTCCACTAACCAAGAAATAAAGCTAGAAGAGGAAGTTCAGAAGAAGCATTTCCCAGATGAAGGTGGCAATGAATCGGTGAATGCAAATTCCATTTTGGACCGAGAGATAAAGGTAGAAACCGAAGATGATGATAAGGATCTTCAAGATGATGACGATGATGATGATAAGGATCTCCAAGATGATGAAGGAGAGAATGAAGGTTCAATAGCAGATGGTAACAACGAAGGTATGATCTTTGGAAGCTCTGAAGCTGCTAAACAATTCTTGGAAGAATTGGAGCGAGGATCAGGTACTGGTTCTTACTCAGGTGCTGAGAGTTATCATGATCATTCACAGAGAATTGATGGCCAGATTGTCACAGACTCGGATGAAGAAGTGGACACTGACGAGGAAGGGGGTGGAAAAGAGTTATTTGATGCTGCTTCACTGGCAGCTCTTCTGAAAGCATCAACAGCTGCTCCCTCAGATGGTGGCAATGTTACAATTACCACCCCAGATGGATCCCGGCTTTTCTCCATTGAGCGTCCTGCTGGTTTGGGATCTTCAATCCGCTCTTTGAAACCTGCTTCACGACCAAACAATTCTAATCTCTTTACATCTTCAAATGTCACAGTTGGGGGAGAATCTGAGAACTTGAGTGATGAAGAGAAAGCGAAACTGGAAAAGTTTCAACAGATAAGGGTTCAATTCTTGAGGCTTGTTCAGAGATTAGGTGTTTCTACAGAAGATTCAGTAGCTAGGCAGGTTCTATACCGCCTAGATCTTCTTTCAGGGAGGCAAAACAGTCGAGAATTTAGCCCCGATGCTGCAAAGATGACAGCTCTCCAGCTTGAAGCAGAGGGGAAAGATGATTTGAACTTCTCCTTGAACATACTGGTTCTTGGGAAAACGGGTGTTGGGAAGAGTGCTACTATAAATTCAATTTTTGGTGAAGAAAAGACCCCAATTTATGCATTTGGACCTGCAACAACTACTGTCAAAGAAATTGTTGGAGTGGTCGATGGAGTCAAGATTAGGGTTTTTGATACACCAGGTCTTAAATCTGCTGCAATGGAACAGAATGTAAATCGTAAAATCTTATCCCTTGTACAGAAGTTCACGAAAAAATGCCCCCCAGATATTGTCCTCTATGTGGATCGGTTGGATACCCAAAGTAGGGATCTAAATGATGTGCCATTATTGAGATCAATTACTAGTGCCTTTGGTCCTTCAATTTGGAGAAGTACCGTAGTCACTCTAACCCATGGCGCTTCTGCTCCTCCTGATGGACCATCAGGTTCCCCTCTGAATTATGAGTTGTTTGTTGCTCAGCGGTCTCAGATCCTCCAGCAGACCATTGGACAAGCTGTTGGTGAGCTAAGGTTTATGAGTCCAAGTATGATGAGTCCAATACGTCTTGTAGAGAACCACCCCTCTTGTCGGAAGAATAGAGATGGTCAGAAAGTGCTCCCTAATGGTCAAAGTTGGAGACCCCAGCTATTGCTTTTAAGCTACTCTATGAAGATTTTATCTGAGGCGACTAATCTCTCAAAACCTCAGGAATCATTTGATAACCGTAAGCTCTTTGGTTTCCGTTCCCGTTCACCTCCTCTTCCATACTTGTTGAATTGGCTGTTGCAGCCTCGCCCCCATCCAAAGCTGTCTTCTGATCAAGAGAATGCTGATTCAGACATCGACTTGGATGACTTGTCTGATTCTGATCAAGAGGAAGAAGAGGATGAGTATGATCAGCTTCCATCATTCAAGCCTCTCAAGAAAGCTCAGATTGCTAAGCTTAGCAAAGAGCAGAGGAAGGTATACACTGAGGAGTACGATTATAGGGTTAAGCTCCTCCAGAAGAAGTTGTGGAGAGAAGAGTTGAGAAGAATGAAAGAAATGAAGAAGAAGGGTAAGGTTGGTGCAGATGATTATGGTTATCTGGGTGAAGAAGATCCAGAAAATGGTGGTCCAGCAGCTGTTCCAGTACCTTTACCTGATATGGTTCTGCCACCTTCTTTTGATAGTGAAAATCCAGCTTACAGGTACCGCTTATTGGAGCCAACTTCTCAGTTCTCGGCAAGGCCAGTATTGGATGTCCAAGGGTGGGACCACGACTATGGGTATGATGGTGTCAACCTTGAACAAAGTCTAGCCATTGCTAATTCTTTTCCAGCAGCTGTTACTGTTCAGCTTACTAAGGATAAGAAAGATTTCACTATGCATTTGGATTCCTCAGTTGCTGCCAAGCATGGGGAGAATGGATCAAGCATGGCAGGTTTTGACATTCAAAACATTGGAAAGCAATTTGCATACATTGTCAGAGGAGACACCAAATTCAAAAATTTCAAGAGGAACAAGACAGGTGCCGGAGTAGCTGTGACATTTTTAGGTGAAAGTGTGTCCACTGGACTCAAAGTTGAGGATCAGATTGCACTTGGCAAGCGTGTGATATTGGTTGGTACTGCTGGGACTGTCCGATCGCAGGGCGAATCGGTACATGGAGCGAATTTGGAGGTGCGGCTGAGGGAAGCAGATTATCCAATTGGCCAAGATCAATCCTCAGTTGGTCTGTCTCTAGTGAAGTTTAGGGGTGACTTGGCCTTGATGGTAAATCTTGTGTCCCAGTTTTCCCTTGGGCGAAACTACAAGATGACTGTTCGTGCAGGAGTGAACAACAAGCTCAGTGGACAGATTTCTGTTAGAACAAGCAGCTCTGAACAACTTCAAATTGCGTTCGTGGCTGTTCTTCCGATTGTTAGGGCCATCTGCAACACTATCTGGCCCAGAGCTAGTGAGAATTACTCAATCTACTAGATTATGTTTTATTTACTCATCATATGTTTCCATTAGATGTTTTTTTTTTAATGAGGTCAATGTTATGATCTTGTTGAATGATGCTTAAATTTGTTTTGATCTGGACTTTGCTCTCACTTTATTGTTAAAAATATGAGATGGAACCACCTAGAGGGAAGGGAATTTAGTTTTACCATTGTTTCACATGTTCAATAAGATGTTGCTGTTATGAATCTGATCGAGGATTATGTGATTTCAACATGAAGAGAAGTTTTGAATTTCGTTGTTGCTTTCCTGGAAGTAAATTGCAGTTGGGTTAACTTATATGCATTGCAAATTATTTCTCCTGCTTAATACAACTTGGATTGGAACTGCTTGTATTAGATCACTTAAACTGCTTTCAATCACTTAAACTTAAAGTTCAACAAAATTTATTAGTTAAAGAACACGGTTAAAATAAATTTAAAACTAAAACAAAAACAAAATTTATGCTAAATGAAACCCAACCAAAATTTTCTTGAGGCCCATACAGTTTTACCACTTGAATTACAATTCAAGACCAGGGAAAACGGGCCCCAAACAAAACTCACATAAAAAAGATAAATAAGTAAGAACGCCCTGATCAACGGTTGTCACTGCTCCATGGCAACAGCTCCACCACTAGTCGAAACGGCAGGGCCATTCTCGGCGTCATCAAACACTTTGGCAATCCTCTCCGTCGGAATCAACGGCAGATAAGCCGCCACGAAGTAGCCTCTGTCGGCCGTGTAACCAACAGCCTGATTGTACTTTGCCGACCAGTAAGCCACGGTAGGGACCATTATCTGAGCCACTTGGGGAAACAGCGGGAGGCCATTCAGTGAGCGCCAAGCCGACACCGCGTACCGCTCAGCCACCGGCTCGTACTTGTAGAAGACTTCCTCAGCCACCGGCTCGTATTTAGAGTACACGCTCACCGTGAGGTTCCTAGCCGTGTCCACCAAGCCAGCTCGCTGGACTTCCGAAGCCACGGTTCGAGCCACCTCCGGAGCCTTCTGAGCCACAGAGAGGGCTTGGCTCGACGCCTGCTTCACAAGACAGGGCACGTGACGGTCCAACTCGCCCAAGGACTCGTCTACCTGCAAACCACGTGATCACGATCAAGAAATGAACAGGCGGCAAAATCTAGGGTTTCGTTTCTGAATTAGACTGACCTTGCGATCGACAAATTTGAGCAGCTGGAAGGGAAGGTCGTGGAACTTCTCGTAGACCGGTCCAATTACAGTTTTGACGGTGCCTTCCACGGTCTGAACCCCCGGTTTAAGTGGTCCGGAGTTTTCCTTTGCATACTCGTAGAGGCTCGAGAAGCACACCACGACGTAAATCGCCGCCACTTGAACAAACTCCATATATTTGAGGTTTTTCTCATTCACTTGCGCCTTCGTTCAAGATCCCAAATACGATATTAAAAAACAAAACACAAAATCAACTTCTTGATCGATTTTGCCGGAAAACGGAGCGTTTTCAAATCAAGCAGAACGAAGCTCATACACAAGAAAATACAAAAAACGAAGAGAGAGTCTTTACCGTTTCTGTTGTCTGCTTAGCTTCTGAATCCGCCATTTCGCTCTGTGTGTAAAATTTTGATGCCTTTTCAAGAGAAAACCTTCTGAATCACTCTTTGAATTGAAACTAGGAAGACGTTGAGAAGCGTTGCAACTATTCCGTCTTTATAGGGAGCCCAACCTTGGGCGACAATCTCCAAGAAAATCTACGGTCACGATGAGATATTTTTGCCACTTGGCGCTTCTTGAATCCGTGGATACGGTCAAATGTGTCAACGGGAGGATTTCCCGGGGAAGTCTTCCTGTGTTGGTACTTGGTAGGAATATATGGACGGCTCAGATGAAGCGAGGGCAGCATGGGGTGGTCATACAGGATGGTGACACGTGGACCTCTAAGGATGACACTGCAACGGGTACGTGTCGACGTGCTGGGTGAACCGTTCTGTGCATGGCACGAAACGCTATGCAAATGCAATCCACTTGGCGTGGCACGATCGCCGAGGCGTCTGTTTGATTCATCCAATCAGCAATCACCTACGACGAGGCTGAGGATACTCCTCTACGCTGCGTACCGTACGAGCGGTTCTTTTACAAACCAGTCGTCAAAATCAACGGTTTAAAGTAGTTTAACATTACATCAGATCAACGGTGCAAAAAGTCTTTTTTGATTATGTTGGGTTTTTCAAATTTTATTTTTTATGTGGTTTTTCAATTATGGTAATTTCATAGTGATTAAACAGGTAAATTACGGAGATAAAAAATGACTTTTTGTTATTAAAATTACTAGCTTTTGCCTGATCAAAATTACGAGGAAATGGATGCTGCCAACGAGGAAATTCTGAGGCAAGTGTTCGGCGACTCATCGGACGGCGAGGACTTGGAATTGGGAGATGGATCTGACCCAAGCCATTGCTGGGAACCAATCAAAGAAATCAAAGGGTTGTGGTTGTGCAGAGACTTCCTCCCTCCTCAACGCCAGTCTTCCTTGCTCTCCACAATCCAAAACGGTGCGTCTCCTTCTCACTCATAGTCTCTTTTCCATTTTCAAGATTAGTTTAACTTGTTAAGTGAACTAAATATGTATGCTTGTTGGTGTTGTCTGCAATAATCTCATATGTAGTGGCTTTTATTAACTTGTGGTTGCAGAAGGATGGTTCACTCAAGCCTCTCACAATCAGGTGCGCATAATCCCATATGCATACACATGTTAGGATGCAAATTATGGATTGGCATTGTGCGTTTCTTTATTGAAATGCATAAAATTAAATGGGGAAGATGGGATTTTGATATGCAAAATCTGGTTAGCCTGTATATGAAAAGCATTTCAATTACTACCCCAATTGGCAAACTGTATATGAAATGTATGCTAACTGCTTTATCAAATAAAAAGTTGAGATAGATGACAAGGAATATAAGCTTTGTCCTTTGTTTTTGGTATGGATTTGCTGATACTAGTTTGGTTGTCAAATTTGCTGATCACTTGTATTGAAGAGAACGAGTGATGCATACATAAGCCAATTGAATATCATCCATCCCACTAGCCAACTGAAAGAATTTCCTTTCCCTGTAGGCTATGAGATTTGGAGACCTTCCATCATGGGCGGCTGAGCTTTCGCATTCTATTCGCAAGGTTGTACTTGCGAGTGACTTTGTTCTTGAACCTATAGTATTGGGAAGTACTGATAATGTGAACGAGAATGCATGTTCATTTCCATCAGATCTTTTCTGCAGAGAGCCACTCTTCGACCAACTAATTCTAAATTCTTACCAACCAGGTGAGGTATGAGATTTATGGCATGATAAATTTCTTTTTTTAGCCCCAGATGTTGATATCTATCTAAAATATTGAAGTAAACATTGCTTTATGTCTTCATAATGAGTATAATACTGTATTCTTTAAAATAATTAAAGTTTCAACCATTTGTTTTACCATCAACTATGTGCATTTGATAAACTGCTACTAGAACAACAAGTGAGGTTGACATCACCCCTCCTCCCGGCATTTTTGTGCAGGGGATCTGTGCACACATTGACCTTATGCGATTTGAAGATGGAATTGCCATTCTCTCCCTGGAGTCATCATGCGTGATGCATTTCAGTTCAGTTGATGGAACAAGCAGGGGCTTTTTAATGGATGGTGAAAAGGATCCGGCCATGGCCAAGATTCCTGTTTATCTTACCCCGGGATCCCTAATTTTTATGTCAGGAGAAGCAAGGTACCTCTGGAAGCACGAGATTAACCGCATGCCTGGATTTCAGAAGTGGGAAGGGGAGGAACTAAATCAGAAGAGGAGAATCTCCATAACCCTGAGGAAGCTTTGCCAAGTTGAGTAGGTTATTTATAACCAGCAGAATATATATATATATATTTTTGTTTTCCAATTCCTTATGGTCATCAAATACGTTAGTGGTGGTAGGACTTGGAACTTCGATCAATGTGGAGGAAACCTGGTTCCTATGTAGCACCTCTGTCACATTTGTGGGTGAAAATGTGTCTGCTGGATTGAAATTGAGGATCAGATTGCACTGGGAAAGCACTTAGTATTGGTAGGTTTCACTGGGACTGTCTAATCTCTGTGATTTGCAAATGGAGCCAATTTGGAAATGATGCTGAGGGAAGCAGATTATCCAAGATTCCAGTGACCAAGATGAATCCTTTCTGGGACCAACTTAGCATTGGTGTTCAATTTTTAGTCTCAGTTTCAGCACTCTTAGAAAAATCAGCATGCATAAATGTTCGTTGCATTTGTTTTTTTTTTGATTTTTTTTTTTTTTTTTTTTTTTTTTGGTTGGTTTGTTGAATTTTTGATGTTTAATTTTGATAATGATAATTTGATCTCAATTTTACAATTTTGATGAACTGGTGAAGGTTCATAGAGCCATTAAAAGTGTGTGCAAAATGAGATGGACCCTATTATCATCAGATCTCATTACATCACTATTACAATTTACTTTGTTGTTTTGCATAATTAATTAGTGCAAAGTTTATATGTGTCGTGGTTTTAAAGATTTTTGGTGGAGAAAACAATCCCAAACGGGCCTGAGTCTAGAAGAAAGGTACACATTAAGCTCATAATCATCATATTGAGAAATGCTTACACAACAACACCGTGTATGTCAAGATACTAAAGCTTTGTACATGAAATTTTCAATGGAACACAAGCTTAAGATTTACAATGGCCAAAAAGGCAACCCATGCCAAAGTGGGCTTCATCAGATCACCTGCAACTGGATTGATATTCTTGAACACCCGAGTGCAGGCAACCATAGTCCCAAACATCCCCATGGACACCAGCAACCCGACCCAAGGCGCTCCTGCCCCGAACACAATCGGATCCCAAATCAAATTCAATCCTAGCTGGGCCAGATAAAGAGGCAGAGCCGTGGGATTCTTGTGGAAGCCACCGTCAGCCCACACAAGCCAAGCCGAAAGACCCATCAAGAAACTGGAAGCCATGCAAATGAAGCGCAGGGCCCACAAGGGCGGGAACCAGAAGGGCTTGGAGGAGCCGGTGGGGTAGTTGTCGGTGGAGCCCAAGTAAATAGCAAGCAGGTGGAGAGAGACAGGGATTGCAACCGCTATGGCCAATGACCTAAGGCCGCGTTTGGCCATGTCCATTCTCATATCCTTTTTGCTTTTGTAGTTGCTCTTGTTCATGGTGGTGGTGGCTGCAGCGGTGTCGGGATCGTCTGTTCTGCGTTGTTTGAGGTTCTGGGAATCCATATTTGAGAGAGAGAGAGAGAGAGAGAGTGTTTGTTTGTTCTGCGTACGGTTTCTGTTGGAGGAATTTCAGGTGGGGGTTATATAGAGGAGAGCGAGTTTAAGGGTCTAAATCAGTTTGAGAAAGTAGGAAAATGGAGAGATACGTGGGCGGAGGAGGAGGCAAGTAGCGGATGGCTTGGTGGAATACATACACGTGGGTGAGAGAGATTGTAGATGTGGTAGCAAGCACGGGCCTGCAGCAGCAATGCTCCAATGGTTTCGTTGGTGTTTTACATTTGGCTAGTTGCTGTGTGCTGCTGTGGATGTTGAAGTTGAGTGCAACCACCACGTGGCTTGGCTTAGAGAGTTAGAACCAAAACCACAATGTCGGTTTGTCACGGTGACTCACACACGGGATAAGATTGCGAGGGGAAGACGACTATTGTCCAACTTGTATTCATCCGAAACACAACTCAACTCAACTGACTCACTCTCTCTCTCCTCCACCTCAACTCTCCCCACAGCGTAGCCCGCTACTTGGACTTCATGGAGCAAACGCGTTCACATTCTTGGCTAAGTAAAAGTAAAAATAAAATTGTGATTTGCAAAACAGTTAAACAACCACTAGTATTCAAAAGTTTAAGGGCTCCAATAATGTATAAAATCGACATCCTCTCATGTGTGTAATCCTATTATTCACGGTGTGAGACAAAATAATGCATACACTGCAAATGTAGGTTAGATTAGTTGATTAAGATAGTGTATCCGCTCTATTACATTCGAGTTCGATCTCTCTTCTCGTACATTAGAGTAGTTTAGAATATCACTCTGTCAAAAAAAAGAAAAAAGATATACATGTGAAATCACCACTATACCAAAAACTAAAGCTATCATGGAAAGAGTAACAATCAATGTATATCGAGCTCACATCTTTTTTCGTTGGTCATATTTTCATTTACCATAAAATTTTTAATTTTTTTTTAAAACTAATGAATCCACATCCTTGTCCCCACAATGGGCCTATATTGGGCTTAACCTTCTGGGTTTATTTCACTTTCGGGCCAGCCAAGTCATAACTCTTATGCTGTTGGTTTGATTGAGCCTGTGCTCCTGTTCATCAATTACTGGTCCGATTCTCAGTAAGGTCAGATCGTGCTTAGTATTCAAATCTAACGGTAAGGCCTTCTTTTGGCTTTTGCACGTTGTGACCACTGACCACAGTCTCGTGCTCCAGTAGCTCCAGGTCCAAGGACGATTCAACCATGGCGGTCAAATCGGCGAGGCGGGTGAAGCCGTCGCAGCAGCGGAGTTCTAAGGCTTCAAACATCAAGTTATTAAAAAGCCCTAAGGTAGCCTTTGCTTTCGCTTTGCTCCTCTGCGATGCGGTCCTCGTCGCCCTCATCATTGCTTATGTCCCTTGTAAGATTTTTTTTCTCTCTAACGCACCCAATTACACATATGTATGTATGTATGTATGTATGTATGTATGCATGTGTGCATGAATGTGGATTGGTCATAGCATAAGTGTTTGGTTTCAGATACGAAGATAGATTGGGACGCTTACATGTCACAAGTGGGTGATCTTCCTCAATCTCTTTTTTTTTCCTTTTCCCTGTTTGGTTCCTTAGAAATCTGCCGAGAAAATAACAATAGTCAATTGACAGGTTAGTGGGTTTCTTGATGGAGAAAGGGATTATAGTAACTTAAAAGGCGACACAGGGCCACTGGTCTATCCTGCTGGTTTCCTATACTTTTATTCTGCTTTTCAGTATGTTACAGGAGGCGAAGTTTATCCAGCTCAGGTAATCTGTTCTATTTCGGATTACGAATTTTATTATCGATGTTTTTCTTGTATGGTTTACCCATAATTTTTAATCTCATGCTTTCTATTCTATTTCATTTTTGCAGATTTTGTTCGGGGTTTTGTACATTATAAACTTGGGAATCATATTGTTCATCTATGGGAAGACAGATGTGGTATGACAAAATTGAATTACTCATTTTACATGCATTTTTCAGTTTTCAAAGAAATGTTGTCTGATTTTGTGGATAACTGCTGATTGTTTACTCAGCTGTTAACTTTGTGTCAAACTGTAATTGTCCCTTATGTCTCAGCTCTGATTTTGTTTTCCAATGTTCTTTAATTGTTGTGCAGGTTCCGTGGTGGGCTATGAGCTTGCTTTGCCTATCAAAAAGAATGCATTCTATTTTTGTGCTCCGTCTTTTTAATGACTGTTTGGCCATGATGCTCCTGCATGCTTCGTTGGTCTCACTTCTTCACCAAAGGTGGCATCTAGGGCTGATCATTTTCAGGTAGCATTCTTACATCCTTGATGAACTTTTGTCGAGGTAAACGATAATTGTTTAACTTTGCCTTTTGTGATCTGTCAAAGTGGAGCTGTTTCGGTTAAGATGAATGTGCTCCTCTATGCTCCACCTCTACTACTCCTTATGTTAAGGGTAATATTAATTTGTGTAAAACTATATTTCTTTAAATTTGGCTCAAGTTATTTGTTAAAATTTCTCAGATAGCAACACATCTTTTACAGGCTATGAATATAGGTGGAGTGATATCAGCTTTATCTGGTGCAGCACTGGTCCAGGTGCTTACGTCTTCCCTTTTGTTTTCAACAGACTAATGCCTGCATAGGCGTGAAAAAAGTTTCCATTATATTTAGCCTTGCAGCCTTGATTTACGTTCTATTATATTTATTTTTTCATTTTTAGAATTCACAGAGTAAGCAACTCTGATAATGCGGAAGTTGATGTTTGTGTTTTATTCCAACGTTTTTAGGTGAGCTAGACCTCAAGATCCTCATTTCAAGAGCAAGTCCAGTTATGGTGTTCATTTGTTGACAGCTACTTGCTGAATGGTTCTGCAGATACTTTTGGGAATACCTTTCATCTTGTCTCATCCATTTGCATACATCTCAAGAGCGTTTAATCTTGGGCGTGTCTTTATCCACTTCTGGTACATTCTTTGACCTTATAATTAAAGATATTTAAGAGGACCTTTTCCATTCAAATAATTTTTTAGCACATTTAGAAATACATGCAGTCTAGTATTCATTTGAAATTTCTTTTCTTGATTATTTCGTCTACTTTTTGTTGAAAAATAACATGCAGTCTATTTTTCAGGTCTGTCAATTTCAAGTTCGTTCCTGAGCCAATATTTGTTTCGAAGGCATTTGCAATCTCTTTGCTGATTGCGCACCTCGGTTTACTTACAGCTTTTGCTCATTATAGATGGTGCATGTAAGTAAAGTGCTCATCTTCTTCTTTATAAGTCATAATGGGAAGTGGCATGGAAAATGTGGACGGAAGGTGTGAGGATCATCCTATTTTTAACCACAAGCTAAAAGTTTTGTTGGGAAGTTATAAAATTAAAATTACGAAGAAAACATTTCTTCTGCCCTTGACATATTAGTACATGTGAGTATCACAACCGCCTATGCTGTACCACTCAACTCACAAGTGGGAACTAAGCTAGGCTCTTGTCTACAATAACATGCAACTCTCTACTGTCTTGACAAGTGTTGTACTTAGAGATGGCCACATATTTATGTCTTTTTGCTGAATATGTTGTGGTAATGGTCACGTGCAGGCATGAAGGTGGACTTTTCAAATTTTTGTACTCTAGACTTGATCCTATAAAACTCAAACTTGCTCTTACAAGTTCATTCTCTTTGAAGAAGTCCTACAATAGCCATTCATCCATCAAGGTTCTTAGAAAAGAATGTAAGTTGCAGGCTCCGTAATAAACTTTTTGCCTTCCTACTTGTCCTTTTTAACTGATACTAACTTGGGCTTGGTGATTTCAGATATTGTGACAACGATGTTTGTTGGGAATTTCATTGGCATCCTATGTGCTCGATCATTGCATTATCAGTTCTACTCTTGGTAAGTTCTGCTGGATGATATCGCGTGGTTTATTACATATATGGATTCATTTTGTTTATAGGGCTCAAAGATCATAATGTGTCTGAGTGCAGGTATTTCCATAGCTTGCCTTATCTGTTGTGGAAAACACCTTTTCCTACATTACTACGGTAGGCTGCTCTATCCTTGAATAATGAGCTACATAGCTTGCAATGATTGTTGCATGATTTACTTTGAGAATGGTCATTTGTTGATTCAATGTTGTTTGGGGCAGTGTAATGTTGTTTATCGGGGTGGAGTTCTGCTGGAACGTGTATCCTTCAAGCCTTTACTCATCGGCATTGCTTCTTTGCCTCCACTTAGTAATACTGGTGGGTCTATGGTCTGCCCCACCTGAATATCCTTATGTGGACAACAAAGCATTGACTGTAGACAAGGACAAATGATGCTGTGTTCATAAACAACGCTTATACAGACGATGATAGTCTAGCTTCTTTTTCTACTGTTGTTTTAACTTGGCACTCTACAAAAGCATAGGGTTTTGTTTCTTTTCTTGAAATTGTTGTTCCATGGTTGTGTATCAGTTCGTTATCGTTTGTCATAGTGGCTAGGCCATACAAATATACAATCGGAGTAGTATTCTTTCCCTAAATCTACACTGGCTCAGAAATCTACTATGGCGTCGCAGTGATCCTGAGTTGATTGATGATCCATCTTTCAATGTTTTCTAGCTTATAATTTTTCGGATGGTAGAAGCTGTCAAACTTTGTTTCACTCATTTGATCTAAAACTTGTAATTTAGATGAACTTGTGAAGTTCATAGTGCCGCTAAAAAGTGTGTGCAAAATTAGATGGAACCTGTGGTCTACTTTATTGGAAGATCTCATTACATCACTATTATCATTTACTTTGTTGTTCAGCATAATTATTTAGTGCAAAGTATACTTGTGATGTGATTACTAATAGGGTGTTAGTTGGATTGACCTAGATATTTGGTGTGCTTCCAAGTGTATTGGGTAAAAGCTCTCGTGGTACCTGTGTGTGAGTTTTCTCATCTTTCTCCCCGTACATTGAATTAATTAAGCTTCCTTCACATAAATTAGATTAATTTAGAATTATTTAGAACCCCCGTTTGGTTCACGGAATGTATTTGAAGGGAAATCACTTCCCATGTCATTTCCTAATGAATGGGAAATGAAAGATTCATTTTCCACGTTTGGTAATGTCGGGAAAGTAACCAGAAGATTTCACTTTGTTTCCTTTCCCATGTTTGTTTTGAGTATGAATTGAAAACAAAGTTTGTATAATTTTCCAATTATACTCATATTAAATCAAATAAAAAAATAATGCATTTAATGATACATTGTAATTCTGAATTGTTCATGGGGACAAAATAGTTATGAAAATTGTGCATTGAATGTTAGCTCATTTTCCCAAACTTTCCCATGATGAGGAATAACAAAACTCAAGTTGAAAGGAGGGCTTCACTTTCCCATATGCCAGACAACCATTTCCCATGTATGGACTTACCAAACTGTCACATCTCGGGATCGGCTCCGCCGTAACACGATATTGTCCGCTTTGGGCCCTCCTCTCTGCCCTCACGGTTTTGTTTCTGGGAGCTCACGAGCAACTTCCTAGTGGGTCACCCATCCTGGGATTGTTCTAGCCCCCAACTCGCTTAATTTCGGAGTTCCTATGACTCCGAAGCCAGTGAGCTCCCAAAAGGTTTCGTGCTAGATGGAGGTGGGCATGTACATATAAGGCACATTGCCCTCTCTCCATTGGTCGATGTGGGATGTTACAATCCACCTCCCTTAGAGGCCCGACATCCTCGTCGGCACACTCACACCACACAACAGAGTGGCTTTGATACCAAATAGGTGGGATCCGTCCCGGTTTCCGAGGAAATTCGGGATGGGTCATGTCACAAACATGAGAAAGCAATTGAATTCCCATTTCTAAGCCCCCTTTTCCATGAACCAAACGGGGCAAGTTAAGACTATTTTCGATTGCACTAGACCAGTCGGCAATTTAGACTGTCATTCGTTTCATGTAAGAGATCGTAGTGGCCTCAGTCGGGTCTAAACTCCAAAGGCCCAAACTAGAAACATTTAACAAACGCGTTTAGTTAACATTTAACAGGATCCAAATTTCACACATTAGCTTACAGTTCTGTCTGGGATCCTGGGGTTTCCAGATCTACTCCCATCCACCAAATCCGAAATCCTGATTTATCTGCCTTTTGCTTTGTTTTTTCAATTGAGGTTCACGTTCAATTGTCAATTATGATATTAGAGAAATGTTTAGGAGCTCAAAGAACGCGAAGGATCCATAGCGCTCTCCGCCATGGCAAGGTCACAATCCTGTGTCTCGTCCTCACTGTTGTCGTCCTAGGTGGCACAGTCGGAGCCGGCAAGTTTGGAACTCCGGAGGACTCCATCGAGATTCGTGATCACTTCTACTCTCGCAAGCGAGCAGAGCCTCACCGCGTCCTTGAGGAGGTCCAGTCAACGCCGGCCGATCCCAACAACTACAATGCCTTCGATATCAACAAGATCTTGGTCGACGAAGGAGAGGAAGACAGACCCGACCCCAATAAGCCCTACACTCTTGGACCCAAGATTTCAAATTGGGACGAGCAGAGATCGAAATGGCTCAAGGAAAACCCTAATTTCCCAAATTTCATCAGACCCAATAAGCCTAGAGTGCTTCTGGTAACTGGGTCGTCGCCAAAACCCTGTGAGAACCCGGTAGGTGACCATTACTTATTGAAGTCGATTAAGAACAAAATCGATTATTGTAGGTTGCATGGGATTGAGGTTTTTTACAATATGGCCCTTTTGGATGCTGAAATGGCTGGTTTTTGGGCCAAGCTTCCGTTGATTCGGAAGCTCCTTTTGTCTCACCCGGAGGTTGAGTTTCTATGGTGGATGGATAGTGATGCCATGTTCACAGATATGGCTTTTGAAGTACCCTGGGAGAGGTACAGAGATTATGACTTTGTGATGCATGGATGGAATGAGATGGTTTATGATCAAAAGAATTGGATTGGGCTCAATACCGGGAGCTTCTTGTTAAGGAATACCCAGTGGTCGTTAGATATGCTTGATACTTGGGCTCCTATGGGACCTAAAGGGAAAATTAGGGATGAGGCTGGGAAGATACTCACTAGGGAGCTCAAGGGTAGGCCGGTATTCGAAGCTGATGATCAGTCAGCCATGGTTTATATATTGGCCACTCAAAGAGAGAAGTGGGGTGATAAGGTTTATCTGGAGAGTGCATATTATTTGCATGGTTATTGGGGGATTTTGGTTGATAGATATGAGGAAATGATTGAGAATTATCATCCTGGTTTGGGTGACCACAGGTGGCCGCTAGTGACACATTTTGTTGGTTGCAAGCCATGTGGAAAGTTTGGAGATTACCCAGTTGAGAGATGCTTGAAGCAGATGGATAGAGCTTTTAACTTCGGGGACAATCAGATTCTTCAAATCTATGGATTCACACACAGCTCATTGGGTAGTAGGAGAGTTAAAAGAGTTCGTAATGAAACAAGCAATCCACTTGAGGTTAAAGATGAACTTGGATTGCTTCATCCAGAATTTAAGGCTGTTAAGGTATCATCTTCCTAGTTCAGCTCCTGTTTACCTCGTGTTTTGGACGATGTAGGATGTGTTACGATGTGTATGCTGTGCCTAATATTTCGTGTTAGGTGTGGAGATAGTATTCTTTTGTTTCTTATAAATTTGTATTACTTCCAAAATTAAAATCAGAGAGCTGTTCAATTTTGTAGCTTCTGGTTAGACATTATATTTTTAATTTTCATGTTGTCTGGAAACCATTTCAGACTTGTGTTTGTATGTTATAACTGTATAAGCCATGGAGTTTAGTAATCTTAAGCTGCATCATGAATTGGCTCGAGTTACTATTATTGTACGTACTGGTTCTGCTGATCAGGTCGTGACAGCTGACAGTTCAGTTTGTGGCTATAAGATTGTCCGAGCATTACAAGTCTTCCAAGCAACAGCTGAGTGTTCAGTTGTCAGCTGTTGCTCGGAAGATATGGGATTTGTGGTCTTTGGGTGTTATTTCACCGTGTATAGTCGAGATTTCTGAAACCCAATCCTCATTTGTTGGTCACCAATGCATTGGTATTTGAATTCTAATTGGGTATGTGCAATGCTTGAATTAGATCTCACTTCAGATGTGTAATTAAGTTTGACGCTTGCTGAACCAATAGTGGTTACTGGTTGATACTTGTTTTGTTAAATGCCGTTCCATTTTCTGGTACCAGTAGTAGTTATTTCAATTTCTTAGTAATCGATTGGTATAAATTCTTTCCCTCATACCTCGGAATGTATGTAACTGGAGGTATCATGGATCTTCCATTACATGGATCAATATTGGCTTAGTTATTTTGGTATGAGGTTTGTCAGTGATTCACTGGTCGTTTATTCCAACCGGTGTGTGAGTCACAATGAGAACATGGGATTATAAGGGTGAAAACTTAGCTGAAGTTCATGCTCTGTTTGGCCTGGTCTGCGTTTTGTATTTCTAGAGGCTGGAGGGAGTGCTTGCTTTATTATCTTGGGTATTGGGTAAGTAAGCTTCTACCATACATGTCTTTTGTATCATATCTTCAATTATTAGCATAAGCAGGGCTGGAGAACATAACTCACAACAAATCTTGTTACCTTTATATATTGTCGTGGCTTTGATTTGTTTTGAGTTATGTTTTCCAGAACTTTATCTGACATACCTTAAATTGAGCACACCTAGCTGGCAAATAGATTACAATGGTGGTGTGAAAAAATGAATTTGATTGGAAGTTCCCAAACATTGCGCAAAAAGATATACATCAATCAGTTCTACCCTTGGGAAGTTTTGCTGGATGATATTCTATATAAATCATGACTGGTAGCCAAATAGCTGCAGTTATACATGCAATAGTAGCTAATTCACAATATAGAAGGAACTGAAAATGTTGTATCCTCATAAACAAGGCATCTGTTTCTTATGTTGTTTTAACTTGGTACCGTACTCCACAAAGCATAGGGTTTTGGTTCTGTTCTTGCAATTGTTGTTCCATCATTGTGTATCAGTTAGTTATCGTCTGTCATATCGGCTAGGCCATGCAATTTCTAGCTTATAGTTTTTCGGAATCTAAAAGCGGTCAACTTTATTTTGTAATAAAAAAGTTAATCGGTAAACGACTAGGACTGAGGCTGAGGACGATGATCAAGCAAGATGGTGGATGTTAATTGAGTTTGATCATCAAGAAATCAGTGATATCTCCCAACGGATCAATTGGTGATTTTGATCACGTCCCGAACTTCTTTTCTACAAAAAATACTTCCTAAGGGACAATGAAACGGGAATAGGAAAGTATTTCTCCTTTTCCGAGCCCCTCAATCCTCTCTCTCTCTCTATTCTTCTTCTCCTTAATTTTTTCGGAATCCATAAAATGAATATACATAGAATATTCCGAAACTGTATACTTGCGACACAATAGTACATAAATAATACTTGATTATAAAATGGAATATTCTTTTGTTCATTGACATTTGAGGAATGAATACTCATGCCAGAAAGGGAATGTTTGGGAGTCACCGAAATGCTTTCAATTTTATTATTATTATTTTTCAAAATATATATAAAATCTGAAACCCGAAAACATGGTTCTTACTGGATTGATTCTCACAAAATAGATTGCAATATATTAATCAATCGCGTAGAAAATGAGCATAAGATTTCTGAATCGAAGGAAGCAATTAATCCTCTTGATCGAAGTTGCTTTCGAATCTCGGATAGATGGATAATTTTAAATTTTCTTGGGACCGACGCAACGTTTTATGACCTTTTTTATTGGGCTAATTTCTTGAAAATTCATCTCTCATTTCGGTTTACAATAAATTAATTTCCATTTAGAACTGATCAAATGAGTAGTATATAATTATTCGCATTCTACGTATAAATGGCAATATAATCAAGATCTTGCATGAGATACAAGTCTTATCAATAGATTTCCTTCCAAAATCTTATATAAAGACCCAGAAACCCTTCTCCAAAACCCTCCACCCCCCATCTTTCTTCTGTCTGTTGATTTGTTTCTTGTATTATTGTTCTTGGTCTCGTCATTTGCTAATCAAATCATATGGACCCCGTGAGCAAAGCCTATGTCACCTTCTTGGCAGGCGACAAAGACTATGTGAAGGGAGTTGTGGGTTTGGCTAAGGGCTTAAGAAAGGCCAAGTCCCAATACCCACTTGTCGTGGCGGTGCTTCCTGATGTTCCCCAGGACCACAGGGACATTCTTGAATCCCAAGGCTGTATTGTCCGGGAGATCGAGCCGGTCTACCCGCCGGAGAACCACCAAACCCAGTTTGCCATGGCTTATTATGTCATCAACTACTCCAAGCTTCGGATTTTTAAGGTATCCACTACATATAAACATATACGGAGGGAGCTTCTCCAGTAAGGATTTGTGTTAAGAATTAATTAAGGATTTATAATCTCAGTCATCCATTACATATGTTTAGTATGTTACATATTTTTTTAATGCCATCCAATAATTGAGATTAAAAGTCTTTAACTAATATATTTTGCATAAAATCCTTCGCGGAGGCGTTCTGTGATAAATATACCCTAGCTAATTCTAGTATAATATTCTTGCATGCATGCACGGATCCTTTTGTGTGCGGTTATATATATTTCAATTGTGTTTTGCATAGTTTGTGGAGTATAGCAAGATGATATATTTGGACGGAGACATACAAGTATTTGAGAATATTGACCATCTTTTTGAGCTCCCCGATGGCTTCTTGTACGCCGTCATGGACTGCTTCTGTGAGAAAACATGGAGCCACACCCCTCAGAACAAGATTGGATATTGCCAACAATGCCCAGAAAAGGTTCAGTGGCCTGCAGCTGAGTTAGGGTCTCCACCCCCGCCATACTTCAACGCCGGCATGTTTGTGTATGAGCCTAAAATCTCCACCTACAATGACCTCTTAGCTGCCGTCCAAGCTACTCCTCCCACTCCATTTGCTGAGCAGGTACTTCATTAATTAATTATGGCTAATATTTTCCTCATTAATAAATTAATAATCATAGTTTTGGGAATTTAATTATTTTCTGTGTTCCAGGACTTGTTGAACGTGTTCTTTAAGGATATCTATAAGCCTATCCCTTCCGAGTACAACTTTGTTTTGGCTATGCTATGGCGACACCCAGAGAATGTGAAGCTTGATGCACTCAAAGTTGTTCACTATTGTGCTGCGGTGAGTAATTGGATTGGATATCATAATAATAGATTAACCAATAAATTATTATTCATAAGATGGATTATTATTAGTAATACTAATTAAACATGAATTAATGTTATTAGGGATCAAAGCCATGGAGGTACACAGGGGAGGAGGATAACATGGAGAGAGAAGACATAAAAATGCTGGTTAAGAAATGGTGGGATATTTACCAAGACAAGTCATCGGATTTGAAGGCGGCTCCTGCTGTTGCTACTTTGCTTGACCCGGAACCACTCAGTGACATTGTTGAAGGAAGAAGTGCCCCTTCGGCTGCTTAGTTCTAGTTTTTACTTTGAGCAGCCCCGCCCCGTCCCGTCCCCTTTCCCCTCCCCTCCCCTCCCCTCCCCATAGCTTGATGATGATGGGAGCTCAAACATATTAGTAATGAGCTCCCATTTTTGCTTTGCTTTCTAACATATATAGCTAGGAAAAGCACAATTACATACTTCCTTTTTGTTATTGAGCTTTTGAAATTTTCTTAATCGAGTATTTGGGAATTACAATAAGACCATGTGCTGAGTTTGTTTCTTTACAAGTTTGTTTTGTAATTTCATAAATTTTCTATTCTTCAGCTGTTACATATGAGTTTACTATTAAGCATAATCAACCAAAAATAACATCTACTTGATACCGGTATGTATCCCATACGTAATTAATTTTGAATTGGACGCTCACATTCAAAGTAAGTATAGATAAATTTTGGGTTGCGGGAATGAATTGGGTTTTAGGGAAGAGGCATGGGGCTTGGCAAAAAATCTTGGGTTTTGGGTTGTTCATGGTTGTGCATGGCCTATCTCTTGGGCCTTGTATCTCATTCAGCCTTGTTCTATTTGCTTGGCCTTTTGCACTTGCTCTCCAATTTTTTGGTTATTTAATCAAATATATATAATAAAATAAAAAGAAAAGAGTTTTGGGATAATGAAATTTTGAAATTTCAGTGGCGCTATTATTTTCAACATCAATTCTTCGACTTTCCTACTCTGACTAAAATGCCCATTCTTACCTTCTTAGATATAATTTTGAATTCAAATACCATGGCAAAATGACCCTAACATATCCACTTGGGTCTGGTGGCACAAATGTTAATTTATTTTCCAAGCAAGGGCATATATGTAACCTGACCTTCAAAAGCAGCACCGGAAATATAAACCAGAGGCCACGCCGCACCCAACATCATCCACGCATCAGCTAATAGCCCTGTAGAGATACTGTACGGAAGGTTGGAGCAAGAAGGTCGTTTCCGAAATTTTTAGAGGATGGTAATGGCAATCTTCTCTCTTCTCAATCCTAGTTTTCTTGTTTTTATTTTTCTGTGATTTTTTTTGTCCCGAAATAAATAATTTAATTTCGCACAATTAAGCCGCTAGGGTTCCTAATATTTCAACTCCGATTAAATTCAAAAACTGTGTTTTTACTGTCTTTAGATTTGTTCTAACTCCACGATTTCTACTATTTTTGAAATTTGAAATTGCGATGCATGTAGTTTCAAATTTGGATGCCAAGATTTTGTTTTGTATGTTTTGAATTATACCGGAAATGTTTTGCCTTTCTCACTGGTTGTTGCTACTCGCTCAATTGTGCGTCGTTTTATGGCTTATTGATAGTACGAAATGTCGTAGGGTCACCATTTCTAACACTATGGACTTCAAGTGCCTAATTTACTGTGATCTGTTTATCTTGGCAGGATGGGCATGATTCAGAAGATTCAAAGCAAAGCACCGCAGACATGTCTGCTTTTGTGAGTGCCTTGATATTCTCGCAACATCATAAATGTTGGCATAGCTTATAAGTTATGATAGTTGTTGAAGAATGTAGGACTATAACATTATTGGATTATTTATACAAGAATCTTGTGTTGGTAATATTTGTTTTCTGTTGTGTTCTTGTCATAATTTTTGTGCATTTATTTTTTGCAGGTGCAAAACCTTCTTCAGCAGATGGTGAGTTGTTAGTTATAAGTGAGAGCTTATGTTGGTCACATAACTGACTGTTGCTAATAAAATTTCTGCCTGCAGCAATCTCGGTTCCAAACAATGTCTGACTCCATCGTTACAAAGAATATCCTTTCCTCATTTTCTTTAATTTTTACAATTCCAAATTTGGTTCTTCGTCAATTTTATTAGATACCTCCTGGAGGTACACCTATTACCTATTAATATGTCTAACTAATGTAAATGAAACTAATATAAATGATTTGGTTTATGTATGCTTATTGAAAGCCTTAAAATTGTCATTTGGCCTGCCACCATAGGAAGCTGTTTTTACAAACTAGGTGTATCGATGTTTTCTGGTTTTGGCTGGTAGTTCAGATAAGTTGGAACTTAATGGGTTTGAAACCTTACTGTCTGTGTCATATCATTGTAGTGGTTGAAATGAAATCTATTTTGTGTTTTCTTGACTGTGATTCACTTGACGAGATGGGAACTCGCATAAATGAGTTGGAGCATAGCATCAACGACCTAAGAACAGAGATGGGAATCGAGGGCTCTCCATCTCCCGTGCAGCAGCCCAAGCCAGAGGCAGGTGAAGTGAAGCAACAAGAAGGTTCTGCATAAAATTAGTCATAATGTGAACATTTGACGAGGTGTTTTTACTTTTTGCCATCTTTGTCTGTGTTTCTGTATGTGTGCTTGAGCTATTAAAGCTGATGTTACTATGAAGATTATATGCTTCCAATGTGCTCTTGTAGCTAATTTATCGTTCGAACGAAATTTTAGTTGTATGGGCCATGTTAGGCAAAAGTCATGAATATGACATGATTTTTTATCATTGATTGTATTTGCAGCTAGTAGCCCTGTTTCAAGACTGATTTGTTATCAAAATTGTCTAAAGCGTTTAACAATTCACTGCTGTATGTATTTTTAAATTTGAATTTCTGAGAGCGTTTGGTTGCAGAGAAAATATTTTCATTCGAAAACATCTTTATACTTCATAAAATCCTGGTACCATGATCCTGCAACTAACAGGCCCTTGATGGGGTCGACTCTGGCTCTAACCAGACATACACATTAAAGTGGGAAGACATAAAGAAAGAACAAAGCAAAAAGTTCATTAGGAGGATAGATTCTTAAGTTAAAGAACAAGGTTGACCAAGAAACATTGCCTGCTTAAGTAGAGCAAAATCTGAGACGATTCGCTTTCTAATTTTCAACATTTCACAGAGAAACCTGTGTTTTATTTTATCTGAAGTATGGTACTGTATTGAAGTTGGGATAAAAACAGAAGATAAAGCAAGAATATAAACGTTACAATCCACAACAATCCAAGGCATAAACATAGTAAAATAGGCTACACTTTTGATCAGCTACGGCAACGAGCAATAGCACTGCATCCACGGTTGTAGGGGTTACTCTCTGCACCTGGCTTGCAGTTGTAGTAGGACGCACCTCTACGAGAGCATGGCACAGTGTTCCTCTGCAGAGCTCCATAGCTGATGTATTGTGAGGTGGCCAGTATCCGCCTGTTGATCTCAGAGTCCATGTCAAATTCATCATCAGCCATGCACTCCGCAATCGAACCCTGGCAGCGGGTTCTGCTCGGAACCCAGCTCAACCCATGATCGCCGCCTGCATGGACGGTCCAAGTGGAGATGATAAGAGTTGCCGTGAACATGTAAAAGGCGAAGAGAAAAATAGAAGAGGAATTGGCCATAGTTTTTGCTCTGTTTTGGTGTCTTGGCCTATACAAGAAAATAGAGTAGTTTTGGTTGCCAACTTGTTTTAAAGTAGTTGAGTCTCAATCTTGGACTCGGTTTTATAATAATAAGAACAAGTGAATAAAGCTAACCTAAGAAGGAACGAAAAGCTAATTTAATGGAATGGGATGCTCATTTCTTCAACGAGGCTAATTACTTTATTGACCCTCACCACACCAGTTCAAACTTGTTGTAATTGCTACAAAGAAAGCTGAAATTGGATGAATCCAGGACTTGTTCAAAACCTACCAAGAAAAGGAAATCAACCACTAACTGGAATCATGGGAAATAATGCCGCTAGATTAATTACGTCAAATCCAAAGCATCTTCTTAGCCTTTGTGAAATTAAAAACAAAAAAACAAAAAAACAAAAAAATGTAGAAAAGATCCAAGTTTTGTGATTTACGCAATTGTTTATATCAACAAACCGAGTACAAGTAGACGGTAGACCCATGAAAATATATATAATTTATTCCAATCATTGACATTGATATTGTTTTTGAATTCGTGCCAGCCAGCACTTACAACAACTTGGAGTCACTTAAGCCGACTTTAAACAACAGATTTAGACTTCAGGCTTCATCTATATGTATAGACTATTCTTTTTAACAACAGCTTTTCTTAATTCTATATAATAACCCAGTTGGCCAGCTGGTGGTGAGAGAACAAAAGGAATTGCATGCTGGTTTGGGGCACGAGTCTTTTTTTTCCTTCTCTTCTTTAAGTCATGGGAGGGCGAGGAAGAGAGTTCGTGAGAATAAAATGCTCCACCACACCAAAAAAAAACCAGAAAGCAAGAAACTGCATTGTATATATATTATAACAAATATCAAAATTTATTTCCACCGCCTTTCAAAATTCAAGATGTTGAGGATATTATATTATTCAACTCCAAGGAAATATAGAAATTTGGGGAGGGGAAGTGTAAAAATATATTTAAAGAGTATATCCGCGCGGCTGTACTCCTAGAATACGCTTCACAATCTTCTTGAAGTTTACAAGGTTAGCATTGTTTAATTGGAGCAAGTGATTGTGCATGAGTTTTACTCATAACTAAGAAAAAAGGAATTCACGATATTGGATGCTGTTCATGGCAGGATCCACGCCTTCATAACTCGGAAAAACAGAGGCCTAAAGTCCATCAGTGTCAGGGAACCAACTGATTCAGTACGTGTGCCTCGCCTAATCTCATCATTATTGAATTTTATTTAAATGGCAAAGTTGCACAAGTGAAGAAAACCTTTCAATTGCGTTCAGATGTCTAATCATATTCTTGAACAGTTAATATATATACAGAAGTCCCTTGGTTATGTCACAACTCAGGGGAGGATATATGTATGGCAAAGGGTAAAACATTGTATAGCCGCTCGGCTATACTCCTTAAATGGAAAAAATCCATAAATAAAAAATATATTTAAAGTGTATAGCCGCACGGCTGTACTGTTTGAATAAAAAATATATTTCAAGCATACAGCCGCGCGGCTGTACGGGTTAAAAAAAATATTTAACAAGTATAGCCGGGCGGCGGTACTCCTTGAATAAAAAATATAATTAAAGCGTATAGCGGCGCGACTGTACTCGTTTAAATATACGCGTATAGCCGCCCGGCTATACACCTTGAATAAAAAATATATTAAAAGAGTATAACTGAGCGGCCGTACTCCTTGAATAAAAAAATATATTTACAGGGTATAGCCGGCCGGCTGTACACCTTGAATAAAAAAATATATTCACAAGGTATAGCCGACCGGCTATACGCGTTAAACAAAAACAATATTTAATTCGTATAGCCGCACAGCTGTACGCCTTGAATAAAAAATATTTTTACAGAGTATAGCCGCGCTACGCCTTGAATAAAAAAATATATCTACAGGGTATAGTCCTAGCTTATAATTTTTCAGAATTAGAAGCGGTCAAACTTTGTTTCACTCATTTGATCTAAAACTTGTAATTTAGATGAACTTGTGAAGTTCATAGTGCCGCTAAAAAGTGTATGCAAAATGAGATGGAACCTATGGTCTACTTTATTGGGAGATCTCATTACATCACTATTATCATTTACTTTATTGTTCAGCATAATTATTTAGTGCAAAGTATACTTGTGATGAGTGTTAGTTGGATTGACCTAGATCTTTGGTGTGCTTCCAAGTATATTGGGTAAAAGCTCTCCTGGTACTTGTGTGTGAGTTTTTCCCCTCTCATTTTCTAACTTTGGAAACAACCAAAAAAAACAAAAACATATCCGGTGATTTTCACATTTATTACTTTTGCCTTTAAAACATACCATAATAGCATATGTGGGTTAAACTAGTTGGAATTGATTCAAGTTCGGGTAGTGAGCATGTTCCCTTTGCAAACAAGTTCGCATTTTTCTCCCCTTACATTAGATTAATTGGTTTGAAGTTCCTTCACATAAATTAAATTAATTTAGAATTATTTAGAACAAAGTAAGAGTTTTCAAGTTAAGACTACTTTCGATTGCACTAGACCAGTTGGCAATTTAGACTATTTCATTCGTTTCATATAAGAGATCGCAGTGGCCTCAGTCGGGTCCAAACTCCAAAGGCCCAAACTAGAAACATTTAACAAACGCGTTTAGTTAGCATTTAACAGAATCCAAATTTCACACATTAGCTTGCAGTTCTGTCTGGGATCCTGGGGTTTCCAGTCCTACTCCCACCCACCAAATCCGAAATCCTGATTTATCTGCCTTTTGCTTTGTTTCTTCAATTGAGGTTCACGTTCAATTGTCAATTATGATATTAGAGAAATGTTTAGGAGCTCAAAGAACGCGAAGGATCCAAAGAGCTCTCCGCCATGGCAAGGTCACAATCCTGTGTCTCGTCCTCACTGTTGTCGTCCTACGTGGCACAATCGGAGCCGGCAAGTTTGGAACTCCGGAGCAGGACTTCATCGAGATTCGTGATCACTTCTACTCTCGCAAGCGAGCAGAGCCTCACCGCGTCCTTGAGGAGGTCCAGTCAACGCCGGCCGATCCCAACAACTACAATGCCTTCGATATCAACAAGATCTTGGTCGACGAAGGAGAGGAAGACAGACCCGACCCCAATAAGCCCTACACTCTTGGACCCAAGATTTCAAATTGGGACGAGCAGAGATCGAAATGGCTTAAGGAAAACCCTAATTTCCCAAATTTCATCGGACCCAATAAGCCTAGAGTGCTTCTGGTAACTGGGTCGTCGCCAAAACCCTGTGAGAACCCGGTAGGTGACCATTACTTGTTGAAGTCGATTAAGAACAAAATCGATTATTGTAGGTTGCATGGGATTGAGGTTTTTTACAATATGGCCCTTTTGGATGCTGAAATGGCTGGTTTTTGGGCCAAGCTTCCGTTGATTCGGAAGCTCCTTTTGTCTCACCCGGAGGTTGAGTTTCTATGGTGGATGGATAGTGATGCCATGTTCACAGATATGGCTTTTGAAGTACCCTGGGAGAGGTACAAAGATTATGACTTTGTGATGCATGGATGGAATGAGATGGTTTATGATCAAAAGAATTGGATTGGGCTCAATACCGGGAGCTTCTTGTTAAGGAATACCCAGTGGTCGTTAGATATGCTTGATACTTGGGCTCCTATGGGACCTAAAGGGAAAATTAGGGATGAGGCTGGGAAGATACTCACTAGGGAGCTCAAGGTAGGCCGGTATTCGAAGCTGATGATCAGTCAGCCATGGTTTATATATTGGCCACTCAAAGAGAGAAGTGGGGTGATAAGGTTTATCTGGAGAGTGCATATTATTTGCATGGTTATTGGGGGATTTTGGTTGATAGATATGAGGAAATGATTGAGAATTATCATCCTGGTTTGGGTGACCACAGGTGGCCGCTAGTGACACATTTTGTTGGTTGCAAGCCATGTGGAAAGTTTGGAGATTACCCAGTTGAGAGATGCTTGAAGCAGATGGATAGAGCTTTTAACTTCGGGGACAATCAGATTCTTCAAATCTATGGATTCACACACAGCTCATTGGGTAGTAGGAGAGTTAAGAGAGTTCGTAATGAAACAAGCAATCCACTTGAGGTTAAAGATGAACTTGGATTGCTTCATCCAGAATTTAAGGCTGTTAAGGTATCATCTTCCTAGTTCAGCTCTTGTTCACCTCATGTTTTTGGATGCTGTAGGATGTGTTACGACGTGTATGTTGTGCCTAATGTTTCGTGTTAGGTGTGGAGATAGTATTCTTTTGTTCCTTATAAATTTGTATTACTTCCCAAATTAAAATCCGAGAGATTATTTATTGTTTGCTGTTCAATTTTCTACCTTCTGGGTAGACATTGTATTTTTAATTTTCATGATGTCTGGAAACCAGTTCAGACTTGTGTTTGTGTATTATAACTGTATAAGCCATGGAGTTTAGTAATCTTAAGCTGCATCATGGATTGGCTCGAGTTACTATTATTGTACGTACTGGTTATGCTGATCAGGTTTGTAACAGCTGACAGTTCAGTTTGTGGCTATAAGATTGTCCGAGCATTACAAGTCCTCCAGTTACATACCTCGGAATGTATGTAACTGGAGGCATCATGGATCTTCCATTACATGGATCAAAATTGGCTTAGTTATTTTGGGATGAGGTTTGTCAGTGATTCACTGGTGGTTTATTCCGACCGGTGTGTGAGTCACAATGAGAACATGGGATTATAAGGGTGAAAACTTAGCTGAAGTTCATGCTCTGTTTGGCCCTGGTATGCGTTTTGTATTTCTGGAGGCTGTAGGGAGTGCTTGCTTTATTCTCTTGGGTATTGGGTAAGTAAGCTTCTACCATACATGTCTTTTGTATCATATCTTCAATTATTAGCATAAGCAGGGCTGGAGAACATAACTCACAACAAATCTTGTTACCTTTATATATTGTCGTGGCTTTGATTTGTTTTGAGTTATGTTTTCCAGAACTTTATCTGACATACCTTAAATTGAGCAAACCTAGGTGGCAAA